AAATTTAAACTGGACGCAGAAGGGTTTGCAGCTCTGTGAGCACATATTTGCTTTATTTATCAGAATTATGTCAAATTGTGAAACCCACTTGTACCCAATTAAGTTGGCATTAGATGTGCTCTACACTCTGCTAGTTTGGTGAGAGACAGGAATTTTACGCAGAGGGTGGTACATGCCTGTAATGCGCTACTAGAGGTGGTGGAGAAAGCACATACAGAAGGAACATTTAAGAGATACCTTGACAGATATATGAATAGGCAGGGAATAGAGGGATATGGACTGCGTAGAGGCAAAAGGTTTTTAAATTTAGAAAGCATCATGCGTCGGTGCAGTCCTGGTGGGCCAAAAGGCTTATTCCTGTGCTGTACCATTATTTGTTCTTTAATCTCATCCTACACACAGCCTCAAAAGAGTCAAATCCCTAACTACCACTGTTTTCTCGCTAATCAGCATGCTTACTTTCCACCAAGAAAGAGAACAGAAAGAAGAATACTCATCCAGTATGCCAATTGAAAACTTTACCCAATTCAAATTCTTTTGTTTCCCTAAAATTTATCCCTTGCTGAGCCATCAATTTCCAATTCTACCTCACACTATCCTCCAGCTCTTCATGGAAATTGCACAGGAGGTGCACTATTTTATACAAGGTGCATAACTTTAGTATATCTTCAATTAGATCCAAATAAATTACTTGCAGGTAAACAAGATCCTGATTAGGCAAATTATTTCTTTTTTTAATTCACTCAAGAGAGGTTGGTACCATTGGCTGGGCCAGAATTTATTGCCTATTCCTAGCTGCCCAGGAGACGTCTGAAGAATTCAAGAGAGGTATTACATTAATGAATGTATAGGATTTAAAACGTTCTCAGTACAGTGCCTAATTATTCAATAAATTTCAAAAAGTTTCCAACACTAACCTAGACCAGGAAGATTGAGACTGTTCTTCCATCGACAGTCTGAGACTTGTGGGACCATCCAACTCCTGATGGAACTAATGAAGAAACAAAATAGAAGCAATATGAAATCAGAAGTTCATAACGTCTTACATTTCACTCATGCATTTACAAATTAATTCACTTATGTGTTATAAACTCGACATTTATCAGATATTTAAAAAAGAAAATAATTAACAAAGTAAGTGTTGGTCGTATAGAAAGCGAGTGTAGGGAATTGGTAATGGAAGATAAAAAGATGGCAGATGAACTGAACAGATATTTATGTCCATCTTCACTCAAAAGGATTCAAGTAGTGTGCTGGAAATAAGCGTAAATCAGAAAATGAAAGGGAAGGGGAATGCAAGAAAATTACAATTACCAGGGAAACGGTATAAGTAAATTGCTGGAACTACGGGTTGACAAGTCCCCAGGGCCTTACAGTTTTTAAAAGAAAATAGCATGTGAAATAAATTTAAATTTCCTAAACTCACAAGTTTCAGGGAAAGCTCCTCTAGATCAGGAAATAGCTAACGTAAATCCTTTATTCAAAGATGGTGGGAGGCAGAAATAAAGACTACATACCAGTTAGCTTAACATCTATCATAGCAAAAAGACTGGAAGCTATTATTAAATACATTTATAACAGGGCACTTGGATAAGTTCAAGGTAATCAGGCAGAGCCAGCATGGTTCAGTCAAAGGGAAACCATGTTTAGCTAATTTATTGGAGTTCTTTGAAGAAGTAACTTTGTTGTAGTTAAAAGGAAACCGGTTGATTTATTGAATTTAATAAAAACAAAACCTTCTTAAAAATTAAGGTGCCACATCAGAGTTTATTAAGGAAAATAAAAGCTCAAGGTGTAGGAGGTGGCATATTGGCATTTACAGAAGATTGGCTTGCTTAAAGGAAGCAGGGAATAGGAATAAGTGTATCTTTTTCAGGCTGGCAGGATGTCACGCGTAGTGTGCCACTGGGATCGGTGCTGGGGTCTCAAATCTTTGCAATTTACATAAATGGTTTGGATGAAGCAATTGAAGGTACGGGTGCTAAATCTGCTGTTGACACAAAGATACACAGGAAAGTGAGTTGTGAAGAGGACATAAGGGGCCTACAAAGGGATATAGATAGGTTAAGTAAATGGGCAAAGATCTGGCTAATGTAGTACAACGTGGGAAAGTGTGAAATTGTCCTCTTTAGCGGAAAGAAAAAAAAAGCATATCACCTAAATGCTGACAGGTTGCAGAACTCTGGGATACAGAAGTTTAGGTGTCCTAGCGCATGAATTGCAAATGTTAGGATGCAGGTACTGCAAGTAATCAGGAAATCTAAAACAACGTTATGTTTATCACAAGAGGAACTGAATACAAGTGGAGAGAGGTTATGCTTTAGTTATACAGGGGCACTGGTGAGTCTATTTAGGGAGTACTGGGCATAGTACTGGTCATAGTACTTACGGATAGACATAACATGTTAGAAGCAGTTCAAAGGTTTATGTGATTACATGGAATGAGCAGATTGCCTTATTAGCAAAGGCTAGATAGGCCAGGCATGCATCCTCTCGAGTTTAGAAGTGTCAGAGGTGACTTAATTGAAACATATAGATCCTAAGGGGACTTGACCAGGTGGCTGCTCAAAGAATGTTTGCTCCTGTGAGAGAATCTAGATCTCGGGATCATCATTTAAAAATAAGTAGTCACCCATTTCAAACAGAGGTGGGATTTTTTCTTTTTTTTGCCTTCAGAGATTTAAGTGTCTTTTGAATTCCTTTCCTCAGAAGGCAGTGGATGCAGAACCTTTAAATATTTTTAAGGGAGAAGTAGATTAGTAATCAAGAATCAGAAAGATTATTGGGGATACACAGGCACGATGAGTTGAGTTAAAATCAGATCAGCTACGATCTTATTGAATGGCAGTGCAGACTCAGTAACTGGACTGAGTAACCTACTCTTGTTCCTTGTTCATATGCTCAATAATATCAGTAGCCAGAATCCAATTCACTTCCAGTTCCTGTATTACAGTCCAATATTGCTTCAGGATCATGCCTCAAATTTTGAAAATACCCTTAATTACCTTCAAAAATTCATGGAACCATAACACCAGAACAGTGATAAACATTAATTTATACGAAAATTTGCAACTGCATGAACATAATAAGTATTTCAGGTAGTTTCGTCACTTGTGTCCCAAAAAGTAAACTGATACTATAACTTGTATTAAATAACTAGCCTCTAATTCTATGTCAAGTTCAACATTCTTTTTGAAGGTAAAAATCAGCAAAAATTATGATTGCCTATTTCACTGAATGCTTCGTGAGTATTTCATTTTTTAAATGAGATATTAGTACATTAAAATAAACAAATGTCTCAGTTAAAAGGGTGAGCATAAAATGTTGTGATTACATTAAGGCTTCATTTACAAATATAACTAAGACCAAGTACAACTACATCTACATAGTTGTGTAATCGCACAGCAAAATTTTCCAGCATTACTGATCATTCCTTGCCATGTAGGAAAGTCTAATTTGTGAACAATACAAAAATAGGTGGGAAGATATGTTGTGATGAGGACCTAAGGAGTCTGCAAGGAGATACTGATAGATTGAGTAAGTGGGCAAAATCTATGTTTAATGTTGGTACGTGAGAGGTCATACACTTTCGTAGGTAAAATGAAAAGGCAGAATATTATTTAAAGGAGATTCCAAAAAAGTGCAGCACAGAGGAGTCTGTGTGTTCTTGTGCGCACAGCACAAAGGTTTAGCATACAGATGCAGCAAATAATTATGATGGCAGATGGAATTTTGGTCTTTCTTGCTAGGGGTTCAAATTTAAAAATTGGTAAGTTCTTCCATAGGGTAGTGAATGTCTGGACTTCGCTACATCAGAGTGTGTGAAAGCGAGATTACAGAAAGTATTTAAAGAGAAGGTAGAAAGACTTTTTTGAAATATCAGGGAGTTGATAGATGTGGAGAGCTGGCACAAAAGCAGCGTGAGGCCTGGGGCAGATGTGCCATGATCTTTTTAAATCACAGCTTGAGGGGCTGAATGGCCTACTCCTGTTCCTTTGACATATGTTCTTAAGTTCCAAGATACAACCCTTCCTGATATGAAACTGCATTTCTCCTTCATTGTTGCCAAGTCAAAATTATGAAACTTTCAATCTAGTGACACTGTGAGTTTACATGCAACACATGGACAGCAGCAATTCGAGGCGGTGGTGCTGCTGCCTCGCCAACGATGGTCACATCCCATCAGCAAATATAAAAAAACTGTTCTGTTGCCATTGATTAAAAAAATTCTAGGTCAGTATGTAAACCAAAAAGGGAAAGTGCTGGTCAAACTCAGGATGTCTCGCAGCATCCCGGGCGGGGTGGGGGGGCGGGGTGGATTCTTTGACATGGAACAGCATCAAATGAGCAGCTTTGGTCCCAAAGAACAGTCATATCAGACCTCCAAGTAGTAACTTAATTTCTCACTCACAGATGCTGCCAGGCTCAAGTTTCTCCAGCATTTTCCATTTTTATCTCAGATTACTAGTATCTGCAGTATTTTGCTTTTATTTCAGTTATTACATGAACTGATAGCTGTGGAGAATAATGTATGTTTCTAAATATTCTGTCATTTTACTTGTCTGGACCTCTTGACTATATTGAACTGTCAACACACAATTATTTAATGCGGACAGTAGCAGGTCTAATGACAAATTCAATACTTGAAGGGAAAGATTGTCCAGTGCTATGCAGACAGAACAAGAGAGTGAGACTTATTAGTTTTCTCTTTCGAAGAACAGAGACTGTCACAATAAACTAAATGGCCTTTCTCCTGTACTTTAAAAATCTATGAAAAACCAACTTGAATCAATCAAGCACTTGAAGCTAAAGGAACAGCATTCAAAATATTATTCACTGTATTTTAAGAAAACTTAAAAGGGAATTTTATTTCTTACAACCTGGATTAAAAGAAGTTATATCAAGCACTAATCATCCTTTTTTGAGCTCTATTTCTTGGAACTTGCTCTTACATTTTACACTCCTCAATTACATGCATTTATATGTTGTTTTCATGGCACGCAGTCGCATTGTTAAAAACACATAAATGAATGGTTTTACACAGTAATCCTTATTAGGCTATCCAATGGAATGATTGTTGTGATCATTAATGGTGCGTAGAACTTACCAGTTTTCTTTTTTTCCCCATTTGACAGGATAAGGATGATTGCTGCGGTGATAGGTTTCCTCCTTTGCAGTGTGATAACAGCTCAGTCTTGTTCTTTCCTTCCTAGTAATTCATGATAACAAAAATCATAAAAGTTGCACATAAGAACATTAGGCTATCAGAAATATGAGCAGGAGTAGGCTATTTAGGCTCTCAAGCCTCCTGCATTATTCAATAAAGACCATGGGTCACTTTATGCATCAGCTACTTCCTGCACTGTCCCCATGACCCCGAATTCAATTCACATCAAAAAGGCTATTGAAGTCTGACGTGAATATACTCTGGGCTGGATTCCAACACTGTGGCAAAATGACAGGCCACAATTGTCCCAGAGGGGAGTAATGGCAGGAGCAACCTGGAGGCAAAATCTTATTATGGAAGGTGATTTTAAAAGACAACTAGCAGCCTTGACTACACTAGTCATTTACCTGGAGAAATGGAATAGCAGCATGTTCACAGCTATCTACGGCAAGTGTCCCTGGGAGTTCCCATGGTTTTTCGTACCTCTATTGAGACCGAGACAACATTCAGGCTTGAGCTGAAAAGTTACAAGAAGCACTTGTGCCACACAACTGTCAGCCAATGACCATCTCCAACAAGAGAGAAACTCACCATGACCCCCTTCCATTCAATGACATTCCCATCAACGAAACCCCCACCATCAATATCCTGAGGGGCTACCATTAACTGGAAACAACTAGGCAAGCCATGCAAAACTGTGACTATAAGTGCAAGTCAAAAGCTAGGGATTCCACGATGACTAACTCACCCAAATCACTGTCCACTATCGATAAGGCACAAGTCAGGAGTGTTATAGAATTATCTCCACTTATGTGTATGCAGTTCCAATATACATGAAGCTTGAAGTAATCTAGGACAAAGCAGCCCTCTTGACTGGCACACCATTCACCATCTCCAATATTCATTCCCTTCACCACTGACACACAGTGGCAGCAGATTGTACCATATACAAGATGCATAGCAGCATTAAACCCAAGCTCCTTTGACAGCATTTTACAAATCTGTAACCTCTAATACTGACAAGGACAAAGGCAGCAGATGTATGGGAATGCCACCATCTACACATTTCCCTCAAACCATACACCTTATTGACTTGAAACTATAGCAAACACCTTCACTGTCACTGGGTCATAATGCTGGAAATCCTTGGTTGACAGAACTGTTTACTCCAAAGACTGCAGTGATTATAGCAGATAGCTCATCACCACTTCCTCAAGGGCGATAAAATGCTGGCCCAACAAACTACATTCCATTATATTCTACACAAAGCCTGTTTCCATTTCTCTTACCTCCCACTTGCTGTTTTACCAGGGCTTCCTTAATCCACCTTTGATGTTCAAATTATTCCAGGAATGTCATGTCCCTCTGAAGAGCCCAACCTTGTAGCACTACCAATGGAAGCTCTGTATCACTGATTGAGCATCTGAATTTAAATCTCCCATTTCTCATACCTGATCAACAATACAACTGTTAAATTAGCCATAAGAAACATACATAGCCTATGCAACCAATTGGACACACTGTACCATTTAATAATATTATGGCTGATCCTGGACTTCAACACAACTTTCCGGTCTTATTCCCATAATTCCAAAAGTTTAAGAATGTATTGATCTCAACTCAGCCTTAAGCATGCTCATCCACCAAGCATTCTCAGTCCACTGGATTAGTGAATTTCAAAGACTCACTGAGTTAGAAATTTCTCATCGCAGTTCAAAATGATGAACACTTATCTTTCAACTACATTCCCCCACTTCCTCTAGCTTCTCTGCATCTACCCTGTAAAGTGCTCACAGCTTAAATGTTTCACCGAAATCTCCTTTACTGTCATGAATGTGTATTTATACTCAAAGCTGCTCTACTGAACTTCAGGTAAGATTTTGTTTCTCAAGATGGATTGTTATCCAGAGGAGATCCTCCTCTTTATATGGGCTTTCTGATTTTACAGCAGACTCAGTTTTCTTTGCTTATTTTGCACCTGACACATTTCACGTAAGAACTTAAAAAAAATGTTCCTTCATGGCACATGAGCATCACTGGAAAAACCCAGATCTGATGCCCATGTGTAATTGGTCTGAATGAGGTGTCAGTGAGTCACCTTCTTGTACAGTTGTGGTCAACTCAGGTGCACCGACATGAAGAGAGTGATTCTTAGGAAGGGATCGAAATCCAGTGATGGCTGATGCCTGGCATTTTGTGACATGATTATTACATGCCAATCATTAGTCCAAGCCTGAACATTGTCCCAGGACTTGCTTCATGCAGACACATTTTACTTTAGTATCTGAGGAGATGCAAACTGTACTGAACACCATGCTATGCTCTGTGCTAATCATCAGCTATCATCCTCACCTCTGATGTTATTACTGAGCGAAGTTCATTGATGGATCAGCTGGAAACAGGTGGCCCTGGACACAACCTCCATTCCCCTTGACTTCAATTTTGCAGGATATTTTTATGAGCTACTGCATGACAATGTAAATTACACCTTCCACCATTTTGCTAGTGATCAAGAATATGCTGATAAGGCTGTAATTAGTTACATTGGATCTGTCCCTGCTTTTTGTAGACAGGACATACCCAAGCAATTTTCTACATCGTCAGGCAGAGGTCAAAGTAGTAGCAGGACTGAAACAAAGTGGCTAGGGAAGCATCTGGTTCTGGAAGAGAACACTACAGTAATATTGTTGGTTGTCAGGGCTCATAGCTTTTGCTGTAACCAGTATCTTCAGCCATTTCTTCATATTTTGCAAAGTGAATCAAATTAGCTGAAGGCTTTCATCAGTAGGGAGAGCTAGCCAATTGGATACAAAATTGCCTTGGGTGTTGGAGAAAGAGGGTTGTGGTGGAGGGATGTTTTTCAGACTGGATGCCTGTGACCAGTGGTGCACTACAAGCATCAGTGCTCACTCCACTGCTTTTTGTCATTTATATAAATGATTTGGATGGTAAATAAATGAGGTATGGTTAGTAAGTTTTCAGATGATACCAAAATTGGTAGGGTAGTGGACAGTGAAGAAAGTTTAAGTACAACAGGACTTTGAGGAGACGGATCAATGGGCCAAGAAGGGGAAGATGGAGTTTAATTTAGATAAATGTGAGGTGTTGCATTCTGGCAAGGCAAACCAGGACTTATACAGTTAATGGTAAGGCCCTGGGGAGTGTTGCCAAACAAAGAGACCGAGAGGTGCAGATGCATAGTTCCTGAAGAGGGGAATCACAGGTAGACAAGGTGGTGAAGAAAGCATTTGGCACCTTTGCCTTCACTGGTCAATGCACTGAGTACAGGAGTTGGGACATCATGTTGCAGCTGTACAGGACATCAGTTAGGCATTGAATCCTGCATTCAATTCTGGTCTCCCTGCTATAGGAAAGACGTTGTTTAAGTTGAAAGGGTTCAGAAAAGATTCACAAGGACGTTGCCAGGATTAGAGGGTTTGAGCTCAGCGGAGATGCTGAATAGGCTGAGACTATTTTCACTGCAGCGTTGGAGGCTGAGGGGTGACCTTACAGAAGTTTATAAAATCATTAGGGCATGGATAGGTGAATAGCCAAGGTCTTTGTCTCAGGGTAGGGGAGTCCAAAACTAGACGGCATAGATTTAAGGTGAGACAGGAAAGATTTAAAAAGGACCTGAGGGGCAACTTTTCCATGCAGAGGGTGGTGCGTGTATGGAATGAGCTGCCAGAGGAAGTGGTGGAGGCTGGTATAATTACAACATTTAAAATGCACCTGGATGGGCACATGAATAGGAAAGGTTCAGAGGGATATAGACCAAATGGGACTAAACCAATTTAGGATATGTGGTCGGCATAGATGAGTTAGTCAGAAGGGTCTGTTTCTGTGCTGTATAACTCTATGACTCTATGATTGTGGGAATCAGACAGAATAGTTTAGTTTAAGACCAGGATCAACCACGATCTTATTAAATGGCAGAGCATATCCAATTGGCTACATGGACCTTCGCTTATGTTTCTTATGGCTAGTTTAAGGATTGTGTTGTGAGAAACCTCTGAAAAAGATGGAAATGGATCATCTACTCAGCATTTCTGAATGAAAGCAGTTGCAGACGCTTCAGGCTTTTGCACTGATGTTCCAGGTTCTTCTACCATCAAAGATGGGTATATTTATGGACTCACTTCTTCTAGTCAGTTGTTTAAACGTCCGCCATCATTCATGACTGGACATAGCAGGTCTGCAAAGTCTTGATCTGATATGTTGATGCTCGGATCACTTAGCTCAGATGTTGTATGCTGTTTGACTGTTTAGCTTGCGCAGTGCTGTTTTGTCGCTTCTCCATGTTGACACCTGATTTTGTTTAGGTATGTCTGGCTCTACTGCGAGCATATTCTCCTGCATTCCTCATCAAACCAAGGTTGATTGTTTAGCTTGGTGGTAATATCAGAGTAGGGGATTATGCTAGGACAAGAGGTTACAGATTGCAGCTCAAGTCAATTCTGCGGTAGCTGATAGTCCATACCTATTGGATAATTACCTCTAATCTATCCTATTTAGCGCAGTGATAACAACACAATGACCAGTATCTGCAACGTGAAGATGGAACTTTCCATCAGGACTGTAATGATTACTCCTGCCAATACTGTCATGGACAGATACATGTACAACAGGTAAACTGACAAGGGTGAGGTCCAGCAGAGTTTCCTCCTTGGTGGGTCTGCCATCACAGGCCCATAATGTTAGCTGTATCTTTCAGAAAAAGTCTCCTACTGTTGTCTAGCATGTTCCAGCACTTTCAGTCACACGGGATGATTATTCCATATTATTGGCTCTATTTCCTTTACCTGTCAAGTGTCCTTGAAATACACCGCCTCCCCGTCAGTCTAATTTTTCCATCCTACATAGTATAAAGGTCTTGTCCTTTGTACTGTTTTCCACCTTTAGGAACACATCACAGTTCAAAATTTCCTTCCGTACTCTTTAAAGTAACACTTTTCTCTGTAAACAAGTCATCATTCCATGGATACCATCATTGTGACACATTTTGCATTCAGTGAGTGCTGCTTTGTGACATACCTGCAGAGACCGCCACAAACTGTCATCCTGATTCTGAAAGTCACCAATAGAACTATAGTTCAAACGGTCATTCTTGAAAGAATGATATTTGAATCTATTGTCTCAGCTACAGAAACTAGACACTGTGAATGCAATATTCTATTTGCCACCACAGTTTCATTTGAAGTTTCAGCATCTAACCCATAAATTATTGAGGTGTGAAATATTCTATCAGTAAAATACCTTCTTTATCCCTTTTAAAACTGTTTGCCAACATTACCTGTTGATGCCTTTCAATTTTTTTCAATTGCGACAATTTTCACTTGCATACACTGTAATCTCAACCTGCAGTATTTCTGTAACATTTATTGACTTAAAAATAATTGGCCTTAAAAGAAGTGAATCTATGGAAATGATATTAGACACTAAGAAGTCTGTAATAATTCGTGTGCATTGGAAACTAGACACTGAGAGTCATAGAGTCATACAGCATGGAAACAGACCTTTTGGTCCAACCAGTTCATGCCAACCATAATCCCAAACTAAACTAGTCCCACCTGCCTGTGCTTGGCCTATATTCCTCCAACCATTTCTTATTAATGTACTTATCTAAATGTCTTTTAAACATTGTAACTGTATCCACATCCACCACTTCCTCGAAGTTCATTCCACACACGAACTGCTATGTAAAAAAATTGCCCTTCATGCTTTTTTTAAATCTTTCTCCTCTCACCTTAAAAATATGCCCCCCCATCTTGAAATCCCCCACCCTAGTGTAAAGACATCTGCCGTTCACCTTATCTACGCCCCTCATGATTTTATAAACCTTTAAGGTCACTCCTCAACCTCCTTCACTCCAGTGAAAAAAGGTCACAGCCTATCCAGCCCGTCCCCATAACTCAAATCTTTCATTCCCAGTAACATCCTGGTAAATCTTTTCTGAACCCTCTCTAGCTTATAATATCTTTCCTATAACAGAACAACGCAGTATTCCAGAAGAGACCTCACCAGCATCCTGTACAACCTCAATATCACGCCCCAACTCCTATACTCAAAGCTCTGAGCAATGCAGGCAAGCATGCTAAATGCCTTCTTAACCACCCTATTTATATGTAATGCAAATTTCAAAGAATTATGTATCTGAATGCCAGATCTCTCTGTTCAACAACACCATCCAAGGCCCTACTTTTAATTGTACCAGTCTTGCCTTTGTTTGTTTTACCAAAATGCAATACCTCACATTTATCAAAATTAAAATCCATCTGCCACTCTTCAGCCCATTGATCGAACTGATCAAGATCCCTTTGTAATCTTAAATAACCTTCTTCACTGTCCACTATACCACCAATTTTGGTCTCATCCACAAACTTACTAAACACACTTTCAATATTCTCATCTAAATCATTTACATAAATGACAAACAAAAGTGGACCCAGTACTAATCCCTGTGGACCACTGCTGGTTACAGGCCTCCAGTCAGAAAAACAACCCTCCACCATCACTCTCTATCCCCTGACGTTAAGCCAATTTTGTATCCAATTGGCAAGCTGACTCTGAATCCTAATTTACTGATTAGTCTACCATGCAGAACCTTGTCGAAGGCTTTACTAAAGTATAAGTAAACAATGTCTACCATTCTGCCCTCATGTGTCTTCTTGGTTATTTCCTCAAAAAACTCAATCAAGTTTGTGAGACATGATTTCTCACACACAAAACCATGCTGACTATCTCCAATTATTCCTTGCCTCTCCAAATGCATGTAATTCCTACCTTTCAGAATAACTTGCAACAACTTACCCAACACTGACGTCAGATTCACAGATTCCAGGCTTCATCTTACATTCCTTCTTAAACATAGGCACATTAACCACTCTCCAGTCATTCAGCACCTCACCTGTATTTACAGATGATACAAATATTTGTGCAAAAAGCCCCACAAATTCCTCCCTAACTTCCCATAGACATTTCACATTTTTGTTTTTACAGCATAAAACATGGGTCAGACCTGACTTCAATACAGCTGCTCCTGATACCTGCATTGTTATCAACATGCAAATCAAACCAGGGTTAAAAACATTCAATTCAGTGGTAAGCATTGAATGCTCCAAAAAAAAAAGTACTTTGGTAGAAGAACAATATTGTCCTCACATCATGACTGCTGCGTTCTGACTTTGTTTTCTTTGACGAAGACTTGGTCTTCTCTCGCTTGTGCTTTGAATGTTTTCTTGACATCATGAATTTATGAGAAGCTTGAGAGAGATAAAAAGGGGTTTGAATTAACACTACAACATAAAATGTTGCCAGAAAAGCATTAGTTGTTTCATTTAAACAAAACATCTATGTCTTTACTGTAGTATACAACCGTTCGCCACATAGTTAGCAGTTGTGGTATCCATTGTCTCTCCTGGCCCTTAAGTCAAGATTTGGGGTCAGCACCACACCCCGACCTTGCTCAGGCATCAACCCAGCTTGACTGCAAGACCTGAAGCTGTGAGCATGAGTGAACGTGTCTGTGAATGGAAGAACAGTTCCTCATAGGTTATGTCTCTTCCACATACAGTGAAAACTTTTCTTTCACAGGTTGCCTCTGTGGCTAAATTTTCCAAGATATTTTAGGGGCTTGAGAGTGAATTCACACACCGCCCACATTCTATTTTGAGTCCTGGACAAGGGTAAGCTATGAAGTTTAGGTCACCATCCAGCCACAATATCTCTGATTGGCAGAAAAGGGTTGAGGGGCTAAACGGTCTACCACAGTTTCTAAATTACTTCCAATTTTTTATTATTGGTACACATTTCCTGAAATATACCTCTTGCCGCATTGTAATCCGGAGCATTCTCTGTACCATCTACGCAGTAAGGGTAACCTTGAAGATGTATTGAAACTAACATTTAATAATTACCCCTTTGATTAACAGATTATGTAAAATATTTGCTTAATTATAGAATTTGAAGAGAAGATTGTTGAAACATTTTATAATTAAACAAAGAATCATTGTTAATTCTGCATATTGTGTGCCACATAGCATAAAACCACATTTCTTCAACTGACTAGGCAATGTTTGCAGGGATAGTAGGAACTGCAGATGCTGGAGAATCCGAGACAACAAGGTGCAGAGCTGGATGAACACAGCAGGCCAAGCAGCACCATAGGAGCAGAAAGGCTGACGTTTCGGGCCTAGACCCTTCATCAGAAATGTTTGCAGGGATATCAGCTACTCACGAGCAGGAAACATCAAGTTGACATGTAAATCAGGTGCCACGCAATTGTACTGTATACCCATATTTTTAACAGAAACGGGGAAACAGATGGTGGACAACCCCTTTTGGCTTAATTAGGGGTGGAGGTAAAGGGAGGGAAAAGAGAGAAGTTTGTCAGCCTCTTTTCCAGACACCCTGAATAAGATGTCCTACACAAGGCTTATCCTGTGACATGTGCTCCCATGTTTTAGATTTCCCAGTGAGAAGAGACAACCTCGATATCCATCCTGTCAAGCTTCTTCAGCATCTTGTATGTTTCAATGAGATCATCACTGATTCTTATATAGTCCTTATCTCAGCCCGATCAACTCTGCCTCTCACCAGTAGACTGGGTCTCTCTATCCTACAGACTAATGCAAGTACATCCTTCCCTAAATAGAGACCAAAACTGTGCATGGTATCCCAGGTATGGTCTTAATGAATCAACGTGCAATGTAGCATTTATCTGTATTTTCCAACTCCCTGCAATAAATGTCAAAATGTTATTTGTCCTCCTAATTGCTTTCTCTACCTTTCTCAAGGCCAGAGCATCAGAGTTTAGAAAATTGAGGCTTTTTAACAAATATTCTGGTTTCTTAACCTTACCAAATTGAAGAATCTCACACTTTCCCATATTATACTCTAAATGCCATCATGTTGTCCACTCAATCTGCTTACATCACTTTGCAGTCTCCTTATAGCTTACGTTTCCACCTACCTTTGCAACTGGAAAATGTTCTATTTGTGCCTATTGTTTGTATTCTGTCCATTAACTATTCCTCTATCCATGCTAATATTTTATCCCCAACATCCACGTGCCTTTTCCTTTATATTAACCTTTTGCGTGGAACCTTATTAAATACTTTTTGAAAATACAGGTACATTACATATCCTGGCTCCCCACTGTCTACACTATTAACTACATCCTCAAAAAATATAACATTTGTCAAACACACAAATTTGTCAAATTTTATTTTCATAAAACCATGTTGACTTTGATCATTCTATACCTTTTTTAGGCACATTTTTATTATTCGGAAGTCTTAACAAAAAGTCACTTTCCAGACAACTGATATTAGGCCAACTGGCCCGTAGTTCAATTTCTTTTTCCTCCGTCCATTCTGGAGCACCTATTACATGTATTAATTTCCAGTATACTAGACCATTCCAGAATCTACAGAATTTTTGGAAATCATAACTGCAGAGTTCATGGATGCATTAGCTATCATTTTGAGAACTCTAGAATCTAGACCATCATCTTACAGTTCCTAAAGTTTAGTACTTTCTCTCTGCTGACATTAATTGCCTCAATTTCCTCACATTTCACTATGTCGGTTCATCTCTAATTCTGTATGCAACTGAAGTTCTCCTGTGAAGTCAGGCACAAAATATGTGAGCTTCTGATAAGTTTTTCATTACCATAATAATTCTTCATCTGCTTTTAAGGGACCAATGTTTATTGTAGCTACTCTTCCTTTTTATATACATCAAAAGGCTTTTACGATCTATGTTAACCTTCTGCCTAGTTTACATTCATATTTTACTTTTTTTTCCCCTTTCATCAACTTATTGGTGACCCTTTCCTGATTTCTAAAACAATTATAACCCTCAGATTTATTACGATTCTTTGCAACAATACGAATCACTTTTTAAATCCACTTTTAATTAATGTAATCCTTGACGTTGTGTAAGTCACAAATGGTACTTTCTTGCAGAGTTTTTGCTTTTTAAATGGAACATATTTTTGTTGAATATTTTGAATTTTTCCTTCAAATGGTTCCCACTATTTGTATATCATAGATTTTAGTCCATCTACCAAATCAACCTCAGACAATTCTCCACTCAACACTGTATAACTTAGCATGTTTGAAATTGAAGAATGTCATTGTCAAACTTAACATGGAATTTGATCCAATTATTATGAGTGTCACTTCCACCATCCTGACAGCAGTCTCCATACCATCCCAGGCAGAAACGAAGAATTTCCACACTGTAGGGATTCTATGATTCAAAGTCTGGATGAAAGTTACACTGCAACAAATGCACTGGAGACGAAATTCCCCAAGGCGTTATTCATCATGGCCGGCAATGTCAACCAGGCCAACCTCAAGAAGGTGCTACCAAAATACCACCAACACATCTCCTACCCCACCAGGTGGCCAAGCATCCTTGAGCACTGCTACACAACCAAAGATGTCTGCTGCTCCATACCCCATCTGCACTTTGGAAAACCAGATCACAATGCTGTGTTTCTCCTCCCAGCTTACAAGCAGAAGTTGAAATGCGAAGATCCAGCACTGAAAGTAGTACAGTGCTAGTCTGAGACAGTGAAAGAGCTTCTGCAGGACTGCTTAGAATCAGTAGACTGATCCATATTCAAGAACTCAGCAGCCAACCTAGACGAACATGCCACCACCATCACTGACTTGATTAACAAGTGCTTGGAGGATTGCATGTCAAAGACGTCAATCCGTACGTTTCCCAACTAGAAACCTTGGATGAACCGGGAGACCCACTGCCTACTGATGACCAGGCACGCGGCACTGAAGTTGGATGACCTGGACCTGTACAGGAAATCCAGATATGACCTCTGCGATGCCATTAGAGATGCCAAGATGGAGTACCAGACTAAGTTAGAGACCCAAACTAACTACACAGACACCCGCTGCCCGAGGCTAGCCTAGATGACATAATGAGATACAAAGTGAAGCAGAACAGAATAGCAGACAATAACACATTCCTCCCCGATGCGCTCAATGCTTTTTATGCTCAGTTCAAGCAGAATGCCAGTGGGATGGTATCACCTGCCCCAACATCACAGGACACAGCTGTTCCCTCAGTCACCGCTGCAGACATTAGATTAGCCTTCTTGAGAGTGAACCCAAGGAAAGCAACTAGCCCAGATGGAGTCCTCAGCCATGCATTCAGAACCTGTGCAGACCAGCTGGTGGGAGTATTCACTGACATCTTTAACCTCTCTTTGCTACAATGTGAAGTCCCCACCTGCTTCAAGGAGACCACCATCATACCAAAGAAAACACATGCAACATCACTCAACTACTACCACCCAGTGGCTCTGATATCCAGAATCATGAAGTGCTTCAAGAGGTTAATCATGGCTCACATCAACTCTAGCCTCCCAGCCTGCCTCGATCCCTTCCAACTTGCCTACAGGCAATGCTGTGTTCCTCCTCCCAGTTTCCAAGCAGAAGTTGAAATGTGAAGACCCAGCACAGAAAGTAGTACAGTGCTGATCGGAGGTAGCAAACGAGTTTCTGCAGGACTGCTTGGAATTGGTAAACTGATCCATGGCAGATGCCATTTTCCTAGCCCTACACTCATCCCTGGAACATCTGGATAATAAGGATACCTACATCAGGCTTCTATTTATCAACTACAGCTCCACTTACTTATCTCCAAACTCTGTGACCTAGGTCTCGGCTCCATCCTCCGCAACTGGATCCTCAGCTTCTGGACACACAGACTGCAATCAGTGAAGATAGACAACAGCATGTCCTGCACAATAATCCTCAACACCGGCACCCTGCAAGGATGTATACTCAGCCGCCTACTATACTCCCTGTACATTCATGACTGCATGGCCAAATTTCATCCAAACGCCATCTACAAATTCAATGATGACACCACCGTTGTATGCCGGATATAAAACAGTGACGAGTCAGAATACAGGAAAGACATAGAACTCTTGGTGTCGTGGTGCAAAGCTAGCACTCTCTCGCTCAATGTCAGCAAAACTAAAGAGCTGATCATCGATTTCAGGAAGAAAGGAGGAGGACATGCCTGTATCTACATCAATGGAATTGAGATGGAGACAGTCAAGAGCGTCAAGTTCTGAGGAGTGATGATAACGCAACAATCTGTCCTGGTCCTCGCACGTAGATGCGACAGTCAAGAAGACACAACAACACCTCTCCTCAGGAGGCTAACAAAATTGTCATGTGCACAAGGACCCTCACCAACTTTTACAGATGCACCATTGAAAGCATTCTATCTGGGTGCATCACAGCTTGGTATGGCAACTGCTCTGCCCAGGACCACAAGAAATGATAGAAAGTTGTTAACAGGCTTCTATTTATCCACAGCTCAGGCCTTCACACAAGCCAACCTCCCATCAATCAACTCCATCTACACTTCTCATTGCCGCGGAAAGGCAGCCCCCTCCCAACCTGGTTATACTCTCTTCCAATCTCTTCCGTCAGGCAGGAAATACAAAAGCTTAAACACATACCACAGGTTCAAGAACAGCTTCTTCCCCACTGTTAGTAGACTGCTGAATGGACCTCTCAATTTCAATCTAATGTTGATCTTGCTTTTACACATTTCCTGTGCAGCCACAACTTTGTATGCCTTGCTCTGTTTCATCACTTATAATCAGTATGTCCTTGTATGATATGATCTGCCTGTACTACATGCAAAACAAATCTTTTCACTATAATTAGGTACATGTGACAACAATAAACTAAATCAAATCATTAACTCCAGTCCTGGGTAGATCTTTTACTACAAGCATACTACTTAATCCTGTGTCATTACACAGTACTAGATCTAAAATAACTGTTCCATAGCTGGTTCCACAATGAGTTGTTTCAGGAAACTGTCATAAACACATTTTACAAACTCATCTTCTAGAACAGCCTTCCAACTTGATTGGTCTAGTCAACATGTAGATTAGTGTGTTTAATAATGTTTTCAACAGTTTAATTACTGTTACAGAAGAGTTCCAAACACATCTTTTGCACTTGAAAATATGCTCTAACTTCACTCTTGTAAAACGTAGCTCTAAATTTAGGACAAGGCCCTCTATTCCTTTGCTTCTTAAGCAGTGGAAATTATTTTATTGTACTGCCATAAATTTGATGATGTCATCTGTTAACCTTCTAAATTCCTGGTAATACAACACCAGTTTTTATAAACTCTCCTCACAGCTTAACCTTTGGAATCCTGACATCAGTCTGATAATTCAATTCTGCAGTCCCTCCATGGCCAACATATGCTTTTCAAGGCAATGTATCCAGAACCAAGCTCAGTACTCAAGGTGTAGTCCAGTAAGTTAATGAAATTGTTAAAATACACAGGTGAAGCACATTATTTACTTAACTATCTGCATTCATTATAAAGGGTCAATTATAATTTTTAAAAAGAAAATCTGATCAATTTATCCTGCCAATCCTCAACCTGGAATCAGTATCAACAGGAAAGGAGTTAAAATACAAAGATTGTATGGTCTGCAGATAAAAGAAGAAACAGACAAGCTGGCTACTGCTTGCAGTGAATTGATCAAGTCCTTGTAGGAAGAGCTGTGTGGCTAAAACTGAATATACAGGCAGAGTGGACCACTTATTATAGCTGAGATTGTCTTTGCTGTATCTTCTATTCCATGTGAGATTTATGATTGATAATTATCATGTTTTGTTTGTTAATTCATGTTTAACTTTTGTCCATCCTGTTTTGAGTTAAAAATACAAAGAGTAAAATTTGTCGAATAATTTCATTATTCAGGGGTTGTTCAGTAAATTCAGTTATTCTAGTTTACGGATCACCACAATAATCATAGCAACAAATAGCTAATGTTGTGTCACTGTTTAAAAAGGATAACCAGGATAATCCAAGATAATACACGTCTGTGTGCCTCACATCAGTAGTAGGGAAATATTGGAAAAAAATTCTCTGGGATGAGATCAATAAGTGTTTAGAAGTAAGTGGACTGATTAACGACAAAGAGCATTGTTTTGCGCAAGGGAGGTCTTGCCTCACTAACTTGATCAAGTTTTTTTTTTGAGGAGGTGACGAAGCTCATTGAAGGAAAAGTGGTTGATGTTGTCTACATGGACTTCAGTAAAGCCTTTGACAAGGTGTCCCATGGCAGAACGGTACGAAAGGTGAAGTCACATGGTATCGGGTGAACTGGAAAGATGGATACAGAACTGGCTTAGTCATAGGAGACAGAGGGTAGCAATGGAAGGATGCTTTTTGGAATGGAGGGTTGTGACTAGTGGTGCTTCACAGGGATCAGTGCTGGGACTTCTGTTCGTGGTCTAGATAAATGATGGAGGAAAATGTGGCCAGTCTAATTAGAAAGTTTGTGGATGATGAAAGATTGGTGGAGTTGCAGATAGTGAGGAGAATTGTTAGAGGATACAGCAGGATTGAGATCAGTTGGAGGCATAGGCAGAAAAATGGCAGATGGAGTTTAACTTGGACAAATGCCAGGTGGTGTATTTTGGAAGGTCAAATACAAGTGGAAGTTATACAGTGAATGGCAAAACCCTTAGGAGTATTGATATGCAGAGGGATCTGAGTGTGCAGGTCCACAGATCACTGAAGGTGGCAGTGCACTTGGAAAAAGTAGTAAAGAAGGCTTATGGCACGCTTGCCTTCATTGGAAGGGACGTTCAGTATAAGGATAGTCAAACTTTATAGAACTTTAGTTAGGCCACACTTGGAATATTGCGTATAGTTCTAGTCACCACACTACCAGAAGGATGTGAGTGCTTTGGAGAGGGTACAGAAAAGGTTTATCAGTGTGTTACCTGGTATGGGGGATTTTAGCTATGAAGAAAAGTTGGATTGACTGGGTTTGTTTTCACTGAATGCAGGAGGTTTGAGAGGTGACCTGATAGAAGTTTATAAGATTGTGAATGGCATAGAAAGAGTCGAAAGCATGAAGATTTTTCTCAGGATGGAGGGGTCAATTGCTAGGGGACACAGTTTCAAAGAGATGTGCCAGGCATATCTTTCTCACGAAAGGTGGCGAGTGCCTGGAATACCTTGCCAGAGGTGGTGGAGTTAGTGAAGTAAAGCAGAGAAAGATAAAGAAGACTTGAGATGGGGGTTGAAGTGTCATTTAATGAAAATGCAGAGGTGAAGCCGTAAAGAGTTAAAAATGTTATTGTCCTTCTGAGGGCAATACAGATCCATATTTTGGAGGTGGAGGCAAAAGCAAAACCAGATACATAAAACAAGAGAATATGGGGAAATAGCAGGCTGGGGATTAACTGCTGGGAGCAGATTGTAGCACAATTCCTTAACTTTGACAACGGAATTAAAAAAAAACAAACCCACATGAAAATAGGCACTCACTAATGTAGACAGAAGCATCAAATTACAACAGTTAAGTGAATGGGTAAAACTATGGCAAAAAGGATAAGAATATGTAAATTTGAGGTTCAAAAAGGATAGAACACTCTACCTTTTTAGAATAAAGAAAAGCCAGAAACACTGGAGATCCAAAGTGACTTGGGACTCCAAGTACAAAATAATTAAACCATCAAGAACAAGTACAGAATATAATCCAAACAATAATGGCATGCTGACCATTATGGCTACAAGACCAGAATACAGGCAAAAAAAATTGTGTTACAGATAACACTCTGATTAGAACAAACATGGAGCAATGTGAACATATCCAGTCATCACACCTAAACAAATACATATTTAAAAAAAGTGTAAATTTACAAAATGGCACCTATTGTAAAGTTCTACTATGAAAAATAATACAAACTAGGACTGTATTTCACAAAATTTGAAAGATTAATGGATGATTTGATGATTTCAGGTTTTCTGCTGTTCCAGGACTGGAAGGGACAGGCTAAAAATTAGTACAAGGCTTCACAGTAATGACAGAGAAAACGTCTACACACAAGAGTGAAACAAGTTAAAAATTTTCCCCCACAAACAGCAATTGATGTCCAATTAATTGGATTTTTTAAAGCAGAGGTTGATACCTTTTCAGTTACTAACATTATTACGGTATATGGGTCAAAGGCACATAGATGGGAATAGGTTTCAGATCAGCTATGATGTCAATGAAAGCCGACAGAGACTCCAGGTGCTAAATGCTTCCAGCTCGTTCCTAAGAACGGTTTTCGGCTGTGGAATCTTCCCCAAAATATGTATACTCCCTCCTCCAACACTAAGTGAGCTGAGTGTTAGCTAGCATTTCCTCCTTTATATCAATTAAGCAAGTAACTTAAAGTGTCTAATAGATACACGAGACAACTTGCCACAGGGTATCAAACTGTTCCCATTAGGAAGCTCGACCTGCCCTACCCCACAGTGGGACTGTGCGCATGCCCATTGATATCTACAGACATAGAGACACCAGTGGGTGTAATCCAGGAACTCGGGCCTCTTTCATATCAACGAGAGAATGTCATTAACTACGGCTCTGTTGGGAAGCGATCACCAAAATATATACTCACCGTAAATATACAAGACAGGACATGTACACCAAACCTTCCCAATGTCACCATGGGAGATATGTTTTGTCCAAAGCAGAACTCGGTTATTCTCAGGTGGTTAACTACGGTGTTCATAAAGTATTCTGGGAGAATTAGAGTCTTTCCGGCCAGCGGCTACGGCTGGACTACACTTCCCATCATCCACTGCACGCCAGGCGCATGCGCATTGCCGAACACCTCCACTGACGATTGAACTACGCTTTTGGTAATATGGCGGAGCAGCAAGCAGGGGACCTGCACCAGGAGGACACTATTTCAAGTAGGTATATTAGCGAGAGGCTTGGTATTTGCTTACTTTATTTATTGCTAGGGTGTCTCGTCATTTGTTATGCAAAAAAAGACTTGGGAACTTTGTTTCTCAATGCTTGTGTTTTCAGAAGAACTGATCAAATTTGTTTGATGGCCTGACCGCAGAGCTCCGTCTGAGGGCCTGATCCTGGAGACGGAGCCGAGAGGTAGATGCAGAGGCAGCTGCCCATCCAAGGGTGGAAGTTTACAGATAGGGAGTTTATCCAAGAGAATTGTAACGTGACATAATAAAAGTTAGTCAGTGCTCGTCATTAACTTCATTGAGATGCCTAAAATTTTAATTGTCCTTGTAATTTAAAACCAGTTAACCTTTTACTTACCGGCACCTCATTTACAACATTCTGCAATTCCTTTTGGGGTGGGAGTGAAACTGGATTTCACTTGGTAGCAAAATGCCATCTGGTGTATGCCCACCTAGCGCTGTTAATTATATTATATATTTGGGGGAAGGAAATTGGTAACTGATGGAATAATGTCAGTTTTACATCCCAGCTCTTAATTTCACTTGCCCTCGTCTGCTTTTGTCTTGTAACCCATTTTTGGTATATTTCCTATTTTGTGTGTCAATTCTTTGGCAACTGTATGTCCCTAAGTACTTTTAAAACTGATTCATGCTTACTTTTTATGTTTCCCCATACAACACCTTTTTTCCATATGTGCCTCTTCCGTTGTTTTCCTTTTACTTTCACTTTGTCAAAGGAACCTATTGATTTACCAATGTGTAATGGCCTTCAAAAGTTATCACAATGCTCTACCAGCTTATGACTGAGAGGATACGGCCTGACTTTGAAATAGTGGGGAATAATGTTGGGGTGGCATAGACTAAATAAGTGAGTTTGGTAACAGAATGAGAATTTTCTGTTTAGGTCAGGAGAGAATGATCCTCCCATGCCATGTCTATACTTCAGCAGTGAAGCTACTGTTTATCTAAACTAACCAGAAGTTTGGGCTCAGCATTCAATTAACATGCAGACTGACCACTTCACATAAAGCTCGCTTTGCTCTGTCAAAGCCAGCCACGAATCCAGGATTAATTTAGAGACCAAAAACAATTTCTGACTTCTACTACCCTCCACCTCTCCCCAGTCATGATTAAGCATACCCTTAAACTTTTCTTCCCTGCTCCTTTACTTTTAGCATCTGTATCCAAATTTCCTTTCCTCTCAAATGTTATAATGTGAAAATAGTGTTATAACACCTCCCAAATTTTGGTCCATCTTTCCTGTAATGATACACATAAATGTTGTCAATCAGGTATCCGTCTCTGCCACAGGTTTTAAAGTCACAAATAATATCCTCTCTGACTGTAACTATCTGAATCTTCTCTCTTTGACTTCTTTCTAATGTTCAATACAGTTGACTGCATTAACTCCTCCGATGCTTTTCTTTCATGTCTGATGCTTTGGAATAGCTTTCGCTTTGTTTCTAATACTGGTCCTTCAATTAGAGTCATAAAGATATACAGCACGGAAACAGACCCTTCAGTCCAACTCATCCATGCCAACCAGATATCCTAAATGAATTTAGTTCCATTTGGCCCATATCTCTCTCAACCCTTTGTATTCATATACGCACCCAGATGCCTTTTAAATATTGTAATTGTACCAGCCTCCACCACTTCTGGCAGCTCATTACATAAAAGCAACACCCTCTGCATGAAAACATTGCTCCTTAGGTCCCTTTTAAATCTTTTCCCTCTCACCTTAAACCTATTCTTGGACTTCCCCCACCCTGTGGAAAAGACCTTGTCTATTCACCCTATCCATGTCCCTCATGATTTTATAAACGTCTATAAGGTCACCCTTCAGCCTCTGACGCTCCAGGGAAAATAGCCCCAGCCGATTCAGCCTCTTCCTATGGCTCAAACCTTCCAACCCTGACAACATCCTTGTGAATCTTCTCTGAACCCTTTCAATTTTCACCACAGCCTTCCTGTAGCAGGGAGACCAGAACTGCACACAGTATTCCAAAAGTAGCCTAACCAATGTCCTGTCAAGCTGCAACATGACCTCCCAATTCCTGTACTCCGTGCACTGACCGATAAAGGAAAGCATACCAAACGTTTTCTTCACTATGCTATCTACCTGCAACTCCGCTTTCAAGGAATGTGAATCTGCATTCCAAGTCTCTTTGTTCAGCAACACTTCCTAGGACCTTACCATTAAGTGTACAAGTCCTGCACTGATTTTCCTTTCCAAAATGCAGCACCTCACATTTATCTAAATTAAACTCCATCGGCCACACCTCAGCCCATTGGCCCATCTGATCAAGGTCCCATTGTACTCTGAAGTAACCTTCGCTGTCCACGACGCCACCAATTTTGGTCAGAAATCACATGACACCAGGTTATAGTCCAGCAGGTTTATTTGAAAACATAAACTTTCAGAGCCTCACTCCTCCTCCAGGTGTTTGTGAGAGAGGTGGCATCAGGCGCAAAATTTATAAGTAAAAGATGAAAGCGTTACACAACTGATGAGGATGAATTAAACAAACTTAAGATTCTATTAAATCTTTAATCAGTTAGAAGGTTTTAATCTATTAATATGTATATGAAAATCCCCAAATTTCTTTGAAGTCACTGCCCTAAGAAAACTAAGTGTTTTATCAGTATAAAGAAGAGGTGACATTTTAGGTCAGACAATGCATGTTAGGTGTGAGGCCTTGTTTAGAATCCATTTGTGTTTTGGTTTGGAGTCAGAGTGGCTTTATTTTCCAAGGTTGGTATTTATAAAATGCCACATTGACTGACCGTCTATAAATTGTGTCCTTTTGAACAAAGTGGAATGAATCTGCAATTACACATTCACCCTGTGGATTTACATGTGTGTGTCTGACGGAGACACAGAGAGTGTATGTGCGGACACACACTCTCTCCCTTCTCTCTCTCTCTTTCTTGCCCCGCACACGCACACGCACATGCACGTACCTACCGGGTGAATTATGTTTGTTTAATACATCCTCATCAGTTGTGTGACTCTTTGATCTTTTGTTTATAAATTCTGATCCACCC